TTCAACACATGTTTATTTGGCACCTACTATGTTCCAGGCACTGACTGTCCTGGAATACATACAACAGTGTGCCCCAGCACACCCAGTCCAGTGCTGGGCAAATAGTAGTTCCCCATTAAACATTAAGTCGAATGAATAATTGGAAAACAGGCTGCGGGTGGGTGGGAAGGGGCACCCAAAATAAATAAATGAATATATACATAATGCTTAGATAATGATCATTATATCAAATGTAAAATGTAATTACAAAGAAAGTAAGGTGCCAGGAAGGAAAAGAAGAGGACACAGTGTTAGAGAAAAGGCCTGGGCGTGGGACACAGGACAGGATAGCATCTGCTCAGATGGAGTGTTCAGGGAGGGCTTCTCTGAGGAGGTGACATTCAAGTGAGGGCCTGAGATAGGAGGATGAGAGAGTGATGGGGACAGAGCCCCCGCCCCACCCTGCCCCACCCCAGCCCCATGCCCTCTGCCCAGCGTGTCCCTGTGTCCTTGTGGTGCAGGCATCCAGCCCGCGCTCTGGAGCAGGGAGGACGTGCTGCACTGGCTGCGCTGGGCGGAGCAGGAGTACTCTCTGCAGCGCACGCGGGAGCACGACTTCGAGATGAATGGCCGCGCCCTCTGCATCCTCACCAAGGACGACTTCCGGCTCCGCGCGCCAGGTTCAGGTCTGGGAAACTAACTGGCTTTGCTCTAAAACGATGGAAACCCAGGTAGGCCCAGGGAGGGAAGTGGAGGGGGTGTTGGTTAGAGAAACTTGTTCACAGGCCAGCACTGCAGACGCCCCTTTCCATAAACGTTTGTCTGATGGTTCTTCGCTGAAGCTGGCCTGCAGCAAACGAGTCCATTTCGCTGTTGTTTTCAGAGTCCCAGGGGTCTGCCCCGCTCTCTCCCTGTGGCCCTTGTCTTCCCTACCCCTTTCCACCTACAACCTCTCATCTCCATCAGCACGAAGAAGCTTGTGACAAGACATGCCACCTAAGGGGCAGGTGACTGCAGGGCAGTGGGGCCAGCCTTCCCCATCCAGCCTGGTCAGCAGCCCCCTTCCTGCCCACACCCAGGTGATGTCCTGTATGAGCTACTCCAGTACATCAAGACCCAGCGACAAGCCCTGGTATGTGGGCCCTTTTTCGGAAGGGCCTTTAGGCAGAAGATGCCCACTCAGCACTGCGCCTGCCCCTTGGAAGGTGAGGAGGCCCTTGGCAGAGCTCTGAGACCCTCCCCCAAATCGGCCTCCTTGGGAGGGCAGGGCTTCCTCCAGGCAAAGTAAGGAAAGAGGCAGAGGTGTATTGAGCTCCCTGACTGCTCCCTGCCCCGCCTCCTCAGCCCCGCCTCCTCAGCCCCGCCTCCTCAGCCCTCGCCCCCTGCCCTCAGGACACTCCTGGCAGCCTGTGGTGCTGCAGCGACCTGGCCAGAGGCCTGCCTCTCATCTCCTCGTTCCTCTGCTCTCCTCATCAGAAAAGTGTTGTTTGTATGGTGTCTCTGTTTNTACTGTCTCCTGCATTTGTCCTGGCGGCCCTGCCAGGCAGGTAGCAGCCAGCTCTTCTGGGTTGGTTGCTCCCAGAGGTCACCTGACCAGTGGGGAGGAGTAGCAGGGAAATACCTTTGATCAGGTGGGGAGGGGCAGCTCCAGGGGGTCTTGAAACCAGAGCAGAGGGGTTTTGACCTGATAAGGTTGATAATTGGGAGCCACTTTAGTTTCTTGAGCAAGAGAGTGAAAAGGATGCTGTGGAAGAGACCTGGTTTGGGGGTTGGGGGGGGTGCTGGGGGGCTGGAGAGGGCACTGGTCAGGATGCCTAGAGGACTTTTTGGCCCATGCTGATTTGCTCAGCTCCCTCATTTAGGCAATTTATATTTACTGAGCATATACTATGTGCCAGACATCGCTCCAGGTGCTGGAGAGACTGGCAGAGCCTGTGCCTCGTGGAGCTGACATTTTAGTGAGGGATGGGTGACTACATGCAGAAGCACTAAGCCTGCTGATAAGGGCAGTGGAGGACAATACAGCTGACGGGGGAGAGGAGCCCCCACGTCCATCCCTGCCCTGGGGGTGGGGAAGGGAGTGTTAACTCTTCAGGGAGACATGTGAGCCCTCCCACTGTGTCCTGGACAGGCAGCTTCTCTGGCTACCCCAGCTAGTGAGGACTCCGTCCAGATCTGTCCAAAAACTGGGAGCTGTCCAACCTGGAAATCCCCAGAGAGCAAGTCTTGGGGCAGGGAGAGTAAGGTGATGCTTGGCTGGAGTTGAGAGACAAAGGTTGTTGGTGTGAAGGACTGAAAAGACAGCGGACTATTGCCAAGAGAGGGGGACGCCATGGGCTGCTCTGCAGGCAAAGCCCCAGAGGTTTGGTAGATTGGTGAGGGGAGACCCAGTTACTAGGTCAGGGAGACTTCTGGGGCAGTCGACACCTAAGTACGGCTCACCAGCATTTTTTGAGTGTACTGGGCCCAGTGCCAAGCATTTTACACATGTTACCTCATCTGACATTAAGAGCTCTGTTCGTCTCCGAAAGCATAAGCCACATGCCAGACCCTGGGCTTTAAATGGATTTCCTTGTAGAGTCCTCGTGACAGCCCCGTGTGGCTGGGACTGTTTGTTCCTCAGATGAAGAAATTGAGACGCAGTCACTTAGGTCCCATCCTTTTACAGCTGGCCTGGCACCATCATCGGTACTTTTTGTTGTATGTTTTCGCTTTTGCTTTGTTGTTGTTGTTGTTGAGGCATAACTTAACATAGTCAAGTATACACACCCTACGTGTACAACTCCATGAGGTTTTATCCATGTATACACCCATGTAGCCACCATGTAGTTCAAGATCTAAACCATTTCCAGTGCCCCAGAATGTTCCCTGTGCCTCTCTCCCATCCATTTTCCTCCAAAGGATGACCACTCTTCTGATGTCTCCTCCTAGACTAGCACTTCTTTTTAAACGTTTTTTTTTGAAAGCTTTATTGGGGAACAGTGTGTTTTTCCAGGACCCATCAGCTCCAAGTCAAATCCTTGTCTTCAATCTAGTCGTGGAGTGCGCAGCTCACTGGCTTATGTGGAAAACAAACCGGCAACCTTGGTGTTAAGAGCCTGTGCTCTAACCACCTGAGCTAACCGGCCACCCTAGTACTGTCTATTCTTGATCATAGTTTTATATCTGGCTTCTTTCTCCAGCGTAGTATCTCTGAGCTTTATCCGTGTATTGTGAGCACTCATTTGTACTTTCTGGTTTATCGCCTACCAGCGTTCCATGACATGAAAACATTACAGTTTGATTTTCCGTTCTCTGGCTGATGGATATTTGGGATAGTTCCAATTCTTATCTATGGTGAACAGAGCCACGGTGGACATTTTCATACACGTCTTTTTGGTGGGTGCGTTAACCATGTCTCTTAGGTCTTCACTTAGGTGTGGAAATGCTGGGTGTAATTTGTACAGAGGCTCCTAACCTCTGCACCACATTGCCCCCCAAATAGCACAGCAGCCTAGAGAGTTATTATCCCATTTCACAGAGGGGGAAATTGAAGCCAAGAGAGGCTGAGTGGCTTATCTGAGGTGACTTGACTAGTAAGGGGCTGAGCTGCAACCCAAACCCTGAACTTGGGGATTTGGCCCCAAGCTAGGTGGTCGACCCACTGCTTGGAACATGGTCCTTCCCTAGGGCTCAAGCCCTGTCTGAAAAGCCTTTTGACCTTAGTGTTCTTTGAAGACACAGGGAACAAGAAGGTCCCTTTTCTTTATCACTGTACTGGAGGTGCTGGCAGCAATATGATGAAAGGTGAGGGTAGGAGAGAGCACGCCATAATGAAAGAAAAGCCAAATCACACTCCGGACAGATGACAGGCTTCAAGATTTCAGGTGCTACTGTGGGCTGTGTGTGACCTCAGGGTCCCTGGGAGACAGCTTGGGAGGTCCCCTGCCCACCTCTGTGGACCTGGGAGCAGGACCACACCTGTGGTTGATAATATCTGCAAAGCTCAGGGTCTTTCCCTCTTAGTGTAGTTATAGTGTTTTCATGGAGGCAGGACAGCCAGAGAGGAGTGGAATCCAGCTTCTGGCCAAACACAGGAAAATGGACGCCTCTGACTCAGGAATCATAGTTTTGAATTTTCAGACTGACAGCCTCAAATATCATGAAATAGACAATGCTGCAAAAAAACCTCAAGTGCCAGTTGGCCCCCGGAGCCCCGGAAGCCCCGACTGGCTGTGTAGACCTGCCCCGAAGCCCCCTGAATCTTACCACCATGCGGTCTTGAGTTTTACCCCACAAGCATTTTCTCTCTCACTCCTTTATCACCAGACTGATTTCCTAGGGAGGCTCTCAATTCCTATTTCCACCAGCAAGGCGTCCTTTTCCATGCATTCCTGCTAAGTGTAGGTGTTATTAAAATGATATCTCATCCTTCTGTGATTGCGCCTGTCCCCGACTATTGAGGTGACATGTCTTCCCACATGTTTATCAGCGGACTTGCTCTACTGCAGAGGTTCTCGCCTGGCAGCAATTTTTCTCCCCTTCCTTTGGGGATATTTGGCAATGTCTGCAGACATTTTTGGTCATCACACCTTGTGTGTGTGTGTGTGTGTGTGTGTGTGTGTGTGCATGTGTGTGCGTGCGCGCGCACACACATAAACTGCTGATACCTACCATGTTTCCCCAAAAATGAGACTGGGTCTTATATTAATTTTTGCTCCATTAATCTACATTTATTCATATACAAAAATCTACATTTATTCAAACAGTCATGTCTGGCTGATAATCTTAACTGGGGCTTATGTTTGGGGTAGGGCTTATATTACAAGCATCCTGAGAAAGCATGCTAGGGGCTTATTTTCCAGTTAGGTCTTATTTTGGGGGAAACACAGCAGTATGTAGAGGCCAGGGATGCTGCTAAACATTCTACAAAGCTCTGGACAGCCCCCACGGCAAAGGATTTATCCAGCCTAAAGTGTCAATAGTCTGAGCAACTGTCAAGCCTGCTCCCCTGGGAATTGAGGTAAGATTAAAAACCACTAATTTAGAGATGCTCTTGACCTATAATAGGAGTTAGTCCTTTATCTGTCATCTGCATTGCAAGTATTTCCCTGAAATCTGTCCTCGTTTAGTTTTGTTCATGGTATCTTTTTGCCACTTACAAAAATTAATGTAGTCAACTGTGTCTTTCATTTTAATTATAGCCTCTGAGATTTCTGTCATGGTGGAGGTCTCCCCTACTCTTGTTTAGTGCATACTATAGTTTCTTATTTCCACTTCTGTTGAGGTTTCCATTATTCTATTCATTAGGCCTTAATCTACCTGGAACTGGTTTTTGCGAATGATGGGAGGTGAGGTTCCAAATATATATTTTTTTCCATGTGGAGAGCCAGTTGTGGTTTTACCATATCTTAAGTGAACTATTTTTTCTCACTGGATTAAAGTCCCACCAGTGTCATATATTAACTTTACACACACACACACACACACACACACACACACACACACACACACGTATCATTGGGCTCCCTCTTCTTTTCCAATGATAATTGTCAATCTTAGCTTCATACCATCAGATCTTGATTATATGGCTTTGTGGTAGGTAGCTCCCCAAAGGTCAGTTGTCCTGTCTTTTTTATCCCCTTAAATAATGTTTTGATCAATTTCAGACATTGATTCTTCCTTCGTATTCACTCTTAGGTCCTACAACAAGGTAAGGGAGGCCTGTCCTCCTTCCAAGCCAGGCTACGTTGCTCTGCATTTGTGGCACAGTGCACTTTCCCTTTGTGTCACTGCTCAAGGCTGTCGTTACATAGTCACTGGTTGCTGGGGTCCCTTCCTCCTGCCAGCCTCGCTCTGTGCCTTGTCCCCAGCAGTGGCATGGTGCTTGGCACATGACCTGGCACAGATATTGGCCGAATGAATGAATGAGTGGATGATGTACATTAAAAAAAAACACAAAAATAAAAACTACTTTTCCCTCTTATGTTGTTTTGGGAACAAGTCAGTCAGAGGTTGGTTTAGTCTTTGTCACTGCCGAGCTTTGGCTGTGGACAGTTGCTTCTCTCCTCTGCCTCAGTTTTCTTACCTGCCACACTGGACCCTGGGAGCCCTGAGTTTCTTCAGCTCTCACACTGCCGGGGGCCTGAGAGGGATGAAGCGCTCTTGGGAGGAAAAGCACCACAACTTAACGAAACACCAGGCTGACTCATTACAGTGGGCACAG